TTATTAATTAGAGAGTAAAACTGTTGTAAATTTGAAAAGTTTTTTTTATTTTAAATTTAGAAATTAATTTCAAATTTCTTAATTAATTTATTTTATGTCTTTGAGATGAGATTGTAATGTGCCACCTATTGTGATAGGTTATTTACATACTAAACTTCTACCATGAGGTTCGATGTTTCTGGTTGATGAGGATTTTCGTGACTGATAACTTTCTCGGGACGAACGCTGCATTGGTGATAACATGCTGGTACCTGGTGGTGAGTTATATATGTTTTTGTTCCTCCAGTCGCTCAATCATGTTGTAGAATGAAAGATTCGAATCAACACGGGTGACTGGTTGTATTATATGCTCTTTTCGGCAAACATAGTGACCATGGGTATTTAATATACTTGTGAGCAGTAACATTTCTTTTCTGTTTTTTATTTATTAGCTCAGGATAGGTTTTCTTGCACACTATAATTGTAATAATTAATCTGTGATATATTCATATGAATACAACAAATATTGAATGACTTCTGAGCATTTCGTAGTGAAGAAGTTGAATACCCTTCAACTTCGTTGTTGGATTTAATTATACGTAATGCAATATAACGACAAATAACTTTTTATTTTAGTTTTTCTTTCATAGCTTTTGAGCTATTTGATTATTTGACTTTTACATTATGAACTTTTGTGAAATTTAAATTATAAAACATGAAGTTTAATCTCTTTTCCATACAGGAATCCATAAAAGTATGAAATTTTATGTGCAAGATAACATTTTGCGACAGACAGATTTCTGAATGAAAGCTGTAAGTTTGAATATTGCTTTTACATTTTCGAAAATGTGCTTTGATAAAGAAATCGTCTTAAGTTGTTTCTATTAATAATAAATTTAGAATCAATTGTTTCATTTCATTGAATTTAATGTCTTTTTTAAATCAATTCATTTCTTGTTTATTGTCTGTATTTTCTTGAAATATTAGAATTTCAAAAATTTATGAAATCAGCAGAGCCTAGAGGCGTTAAAATCTGAAATAAAATAACAAAATGTAAAATCAGAGAATAGTAATTCATTAAATGCAAAATACACAAACTAATCATTTTTTTAGTTCAGGATTTTCAGGTGTAATCCTTTCCATGTTCATTGTCAGGATCTCATTCACGTGCCCAGGTGCTACTTGGGTGAGAGAAAGACAATGGGCATGATGACCATAGTTTTTAAGCTTAATTATTTTTTAGCGACTGACGATATGTTAGTGTATCGTGCACGACGTATTTTCCGCATGTGTGTGTATGGTTAGGATGTGGAATTACGTCGTTTCCATTATTATTCGAAATAATATAATTTTGAAAATAATTATAAATAAATTTCACAAGTACTATTGGCATAAATATGATATATACAATACTGTTTAATATGGCGAATGATGAATACAAACATAGTAATTTTAATAAATGACGTGATAATGAAAAATATCAAATACTGTATCAGTTATTTCAGTAATGTCATTACTTCAGACAATATAGATAATTATATAATGAATATACAGATGATTATATATTAATACAATATAGATGATTACATGATGAATATACAAATGATTATGGATATTTCTACAATATGACCATGAATGTTTAAATTATCATTGAAGTAGAAATATAGACAAAATGATGAAAATGGAGAATAAGCATTTTACGCAATGGTCGCTAGCCTTCGTCAGTCGATTTCAGGAAATGGTACGTAAACTTAGAGTGTGAATGTTGCGTGTGACACTCGGGTGTCGGAGGTGTCCCGGGACGTCCTCCCTAGTTTAGGTCGCGCCCGAGTGTATGTGTGAGAACCGTGGAGTGAGTGTGTTGGTGTGCCTGTTTTGCCATTTTTTTAAATATAGGGGCCCTGAGTAGGATAGGTAGCTTACTTCTGGTATGCCTGTGTTTTAATTATAAGTAGGGAGGGCCGGGCAGGTTGGCACAGTCTCTGGTCGCGTGTCCCCTTTTCGCGTGTCCAACCTGTTTCTGGAAATCTAATTTGAAAAATCGACAGTGAAATTGGAACAAATTGAACATGGCATTTGTTTCTGATTTTATTTTTCGATTTTTCGAATTTAGTATCGCGGTCGCGGTCGTGGATAGGTCGCGAGTAGGTCCCGAAACGAACGTGTGTGTAGGTATTGCTCGAGCACGCACATACGAACGGACAATGATCATTATGATCGATGGTCGTCCATTATGTGTATTGGTATCAGCTTCCGCGGTTTATTTTTTATTTTTGGGTTTTGCGATTAGAAAGACTCGAGCCTAAATGTAAGTTTCAGCGGGCATCGCGCCCGAAGAAAAGAAGAGGCTATAAGCCGAAGAGGCCCGGCAAATTGCCATAGAAGAGGGCAACTATTAATGGCTCCCCATCTTCTGCATTATTCAGAGAATGGGAAGTCATTTTTGTTACTGCTTTGTCACTATGTTCGCCTTTTTTCTTTGCTTTTCTGTATTTTCTTTTTCTTGCCGATGTACTGCTCGGCACATCGTAACATTTGTCAACTTTAGTAGTGTTACGAATGATCAGTATCGGTTTGAATTAATGTTGCGAATGATCAGTATCGGTTTGAAGTAGTGTTGCAACATAATCTCGTAACTTGAATTAGTGTTGCGAATGATAGTTAATTTCGGATTGAATTAAAGCTGCGAAAAGATATTAAATTCAGTTTAAAATAGTGTTGTCATTATTCTGTCATTATTTGTCTTTATTAGTTTTATTAATGTCTAATATTACATTAATGAATCATAAAATTTCCCGAGTAATATATAATAAATTTCATTTTCAATTCTTCTTTGTAAGACATATTGTGAGTTCTGTTTCCTTTTTTTTTAAATTGCTTCTTAAAAATTTTATTTTACGTTCGAATTCACGGTGATGAAAATATAAAAAATTGATGTATACAAAATAGAGTCTTTTTTTGGAATCATACAATTGCATTACGTTTAGCTCTTTTTTTCTAGGTTTCAGCTCCAGCATTCCGCGTCGGTTTTCCTTATAATTCCTTTTGCTGTTTGTTTTATGTAGCGATCAAAACTTGAGCGCTTTGTAAACGTAACGTCAAAAGGAGGATTTGTTTGATCTTGATTTACCTTTTTCAAAAATCTTCTATTTTATGTCTGATTTCAGTAAATTATTGTTCCGAAACTGAAAAAAATACTCCACTCTCTGTTCGTCGTTCAGATTTATATTGAGTGGATACTGATTGTATTTTAGTAACTTTTCTGGTTACTTATTTATTTTCTTTTTCAGCACTTCTTATTACCAAAATATTTGGTATTAAACATACTGTTAAAAATATATCTGTTTCTTAATAAGAATATTTTTCTATTGCTGTAATATTGCTGTAATAATAATGCTGTAATATTAATATTACTGTAATATTGCTGTAATAATAATATGATTTATAATTGTTATGATTTTGGAATGGGTTTTGTAAATAATTTCATATCTCATTAAAAAAAAAAAGATAAAATATTTGAAATATTTGAATAACAATTTCGAAATTATTAATCACGAATCAATATTTTGTGAAATAATAATTTAATTTATATATATTTATATTGTGTTTAATATGATTTTCATTCAGCCAGTTTTTTAAAATACTAATTCAATAAATAAGTTTGTTACAGATCGATTAACTTATTGAAAGTTCCAAATATACAAATATATATAAATATGAAATGAACGGGATACATATAAATGATAATTCAAAATGGAATGAAATGGAATAATAAGGATGAAAGAAAATGAGTAAAGGAGTAGAAATAAATATAAGAGGATCCCCCCTTATTGGTAATTAATAATTAAACGTCTTGCAGAATTTTACTAAATTTTTTGTGCTTTAGATTTGTTTCAGGAATTATTATGATATCAGAACAGAAGACTCCTCACCATTTCATCAACGGAAGACTCATTATTTCATCAACAGAAGACTCATTATTTCATCAACAGAAGACTCATCATTTCATCAACAGAAGACTCAGATTTCATATCATGTCCAATAACATACCCTATTCATGCCTTTTACTCTTTCTCAGGATTTAGATAGGAAATACATCAGATAAATTCTGAAAGATTTATTTCATACAATACTTATTGTCCCTTCCCCATACCTCTATTGTAGTTAAATATACATTTGTTAGTAAAAGTAGATATATTGCTTAACACATATTGCTAATTTCGCTTATTGCTTGTGCTTAATAAGTATATTAATATCATAGTAATTAAATGCATGCTTAAGTACTGCTATTTAAGTAAATAAGTAGATGTAAAGTAGATAAATAATATAATTCTTTATGTGATGTATTTTTTTTTTCTTTAGCATCAATTATTCAACATTTTCATAATGATAATATTATCTCACATAGAATTATAATCTTAGTTTAAAATTTAAATGTTACTTTAAGTCTTAGATTTTCGCGTCGGTTTTAGTTAAAGCTCCTTCTGCTATTTGTTTTGTAAAATGGTCAAAGGATTGAACACTTTACAAACGAATGCCAAAAGGAGAATTTGTTAAATGAGTAAATTTTTTGCGTAAATGGAGGGTGGATGGGACCGTGGTTAGGGAGGGTCTCCATTCGCAGCACCTCCACGTGGTGGGACCTGGGCAATTGTATTATTTGTATAATTACTAATTGCACCACTATATGTGATACAATTATGAATTATGTAATAAATAATATAAGCTAATGGCTGCGATTGCGCGTGAATATTCTGCAGAGACGAGGTATAGAATAGCACGTTAATATCTTTGGATTTTATAATTTTATATTAAAATTAGAAAATATAAATTGCTCCTATGATTAATAATATAAAATAATATCGTTAACCAAGATAATATTACAATACCCTGAAATTTATTTGAAACATGTGTAATCGGTAATGAAGAAACGTCGAATCAAAAATTTTGTTGAGTGATATATCTATTCTATACTTCGTTCATGGTATAGTGTTTGCATGAATATTAGGAACGTTTGCATAGAAAGATTTCTTTCTTTTGTGACTTTGGTTAATTGCATTTAATTGTTCATAATTTTCAAGATATTTTTAAAATTATTGTATAAATTAGTATACTAATTGTTCGTGTTAACGTTACGTGTAATAAAAAGATTAAAAAAGGTAGAAAGAAAAATAATGCATAAATACAGTGACAGCTGTAAAATGAAATACTTATTTGTTTAAATTTTAAGTAAATGTCTATTTCTCTAAATTAAATATTTGTTATTATGAATTTCTTTGATAATAAAATATTAAACGAAAGAAAATATTTTTTCTAAAGTATATTTTTGACGTTTGAAACTAACCTCTATAAATGAAAAGAACGTTTGTTTTTCTCAAGAATAAAATTAGATTTTATTTTTTTTAATTGATTGTAAATCATGATTAAAGCTATTTTAGTATTTAATAATCATGGAAAGCCTAGACTTTCTAAATTCTATCAATATTTTGTAAGTATAACAATAACTAGTATTTTGTTATTACAGTTCTCTGTAAAATTTAATAAACTGTGTCTTTTTTTCTTCAGAATGAGGACATGCAACAACAGATAATAAAAGAAACATTTCAACTAGTTTCAAAGAGAGACGATAATGTTTGTAATTTTCTAGAAGGTGGAAGTTTAATAGGTGGATCCGACTACAAGTTGATTTATCGACATTATGCTACATTATTTTTTGTATTCTGTGTTGATAGCTCAGAATCAGAGTTGGGAATTTTAGATTTAATACAAGTTTTTGTTGAAACATTGGATAAATGTTTTGAGAATGTATGTGAACTCGACCTTATCTTTCATGTAGATAAAGTTCATTATATACTTAATGAATTAGTGATGGGTGGAATGGTTTTGGAGACCAATATGACTGAGATACTTACAAGAATTGAAGATCAAAACAAATTGGAAAAACAAGAGGTAAGTAATATTTTTATAATTGGTATTTAAGAAATATCAGTATGTGTTGTACGTTTAAGCTTTACTTATATAATTCATGAATATTAAAGATAACAAATTTTGTATATAATATAGCAGTGCACTGTGATACAGTTTAAATTACTAAATCACAGTTGTAATGACTAATTTATGCAAACATCCCTCAACTTTTTGGGCCCAATGAAATTTTATCGTCTTGAAATTTTTGAAGTAATAAAATAAAGTAATAAAAAAAAAAAGAATTCAATTTCTTATAAAAAAGTCTTCTGGGCTTGAAGAAGTTAATAAGCCTATTGCAGTTTATTCATTAGCTGTGCATGCATCGGAATGTTTCGTAGTGCAGTTTCATATGGTGGTAGAACTGATTGACCTAACATGAATTTTAGGGAACTTACAAATCAGGACGATCTTGCTCACCTCGTCCGTTTGTCCTTCTGGGGCCCCCTCCCTAAGTAAATCGGCAGTAAAAATTCAGATCATTTTGTACACATTCATTCCATTTTTTTTTTCCACCAAGAATTTCAAAACATGAATCTTTCGTTGCTTTTACAAAAATAAATACTCATAACACGCATGATGGTGCTAAGTCGTTTGTAAATGTCTGCTCGGTAATAGTGCCTTAATGCAAATGTATACGTCGCCATGCTCTAAGAATAAAATGTGTACTGCGTAGCTATTTATTTGTATTTACTTCTATTAATTAATTTAAGTTCAAAAATCCTTTATTTTTCCGTTTTCCATTTTTTTCCATCCATATGGTATGTGCAGGCAGGAATCACAGCAGCGCCGGCGCGTGCTGTTTCTGCTGTCAAGAATATGAACATACCACAACAGATAAAGGAGATGAAGTTGCCTGATTTACCACAAGCTATAAAAGATCTCAAATTCTGACCAGCCGTTACTTCGTTGGCTCCAAGCTGACTGGTTTCAACTACAATTCCAAATGCAAGTGATACTACAAGGATTTTTTTCCCCTCCCTTCAAGTAAATGAGAATGCACCAATACTCTCCACAAATTCTTCATATATCTCACCTCAACAGTATCAGAGTTGAACAATGAAGAGTCTTGAAGAAGGATTTATATTATGAAATTCAGAAAATTGTTTATATCTGACTTTAAACACAAGGATTTTTGGAATATTGAAAATATAATATTCGATACATGAAAAAAGGTAATTTTATAAATACTGAACTATATTTTACAGAGGTTGTATTATCATTCTTACATAGCCTCATGTAATATTAATGAAATTGCATTTTTATTGTTATCTTTAAAGCAGTATATTTAATGCTACCATTTCTGAGCACTTCAGTCTAATTATTTTCAAAAATAATATTAAATGATAATGTTACATTGTATAAACAAACAACGTAATAAATATTACAATAATATATATTCATGATAATTTTTATTTTTTAAAAAATTTGAACAGTTATAAATACACTGTAGTTATTTTGTTTTATCCTTGTACACCACGTAAATAAACTCAAATATTAACTTAAAAAATTTTATAATAACTTAAAAAATAAACGTTTATTTTTTAGATGTAGCAATTTCATTTCTAAGTGTAGTCCATATAAATCCAGTACCTCTTTCTGTAAGTGGTGGTGGATATGGTGTATTTTTTAGTTTATAATAATCTGATGGAGCATGCATTACAAATTCCATACATTCTAATTTACGTGGCAGATCTTCTTCTGGTCCTATAATATATGTCTCAGGACTAAATCCTTCATCAGGTGGTGGACTAAATAAAATACATAATTTTATTAGTTTTGGTATATCAAAGCCAATAAATAAATCATTACATATTTTGATTATAACATCTACCTTGCTGTAGTAGGCAAAAGCCAAGTGACAGCTGCACTTTTTTCACAGTATTGATCCGTGAGTAAACCACGAATTTGAGCATAATAAATTCCTCCATCAATATCTTGCATAGAAACTATATCACCTACTTGAAAATATGTGCCCTTATAAAATACATAATTGCTAGTAACTGGAGTTGCTGTGGCTGTTGGTGCTTTGACTGGCTAAAAGCAAAAAAAGAAAGAAAGACAAAATTATACATTTATTTTTGAATATTTATTAGAATATTAATTAGAAAATCAAAGAACATACAGTTCTTTTGAATAAATTTCTTCTTCCTTTTCCTTTAGGTATAATCTTGTGTGGAACTGATTTAGAATTGCAATATCTTGTAATCCTTGTACTTCTTCTGGTAGGTTTTAACGATCCTGCTTTATCCTCCTCTTCGTTTTTTACGTTTGAAGTTGCTTCAGAATTTCTCTCTTCTTCAAGACAATCATTACAAAGATTACCTGTTTCGGTTGAATGCCAAAGCGGGGTTTCTCGAGTCCCACACTTGACACATTCGGGTTTATTGCCGAGAGGCATCGAATTTTAATTAGTTGATCTCGTTAGTTATTTATCCATCGGTAGTCAATCGTCAATCGTTACTTTCAATCTGCGTTTCAATTTTATCACTCGAATTCCACTAAATATCATTTTAATTGTACATAGTGTGATACTAAATAAAAATCATTGACTTCCATCTACAAAACTGTGTCGAAGCTACTAAAATATTTACATGAATCTTTTTCATTTTTCACATAATAAACCACACTAAACACGATTGTATACAGTAAACTGCAAACACAGGGTATTGCAGTATAGGAATTTCAGCAGCTGTTGAGAAAATAAAGCTAGCCAGTGTGTCCATCATACAAAATCCCTAGTACTTAAAGTTTCATTAAATTTGTTAGGATTTTAAGAAATATAAATGAAGTTCATTACAATAGAGATAATATTTATTTCTGATGATATTAATAACAACATATAATATGCAAAAACAATTTTTATTAAATCTGATTGGTCTTTCACATAGTGATGTTATAGCATACTAAATTCTCATTGTATTTAATTTTTATCTTCTGTGTATAAATGTACATCTTTATATTGCTATTCATTTACTGTATAAAGGGGATGAAACTGTGATATTACATCAAAATTAAAATCATGTCAAAATTTTTAAAAATCTGAAGAACACACATTTGTTTAGGTACAACTATAAAGTGATATTTCATGAAAGTATGTAAATATATTTTTCTTCAACTTTCTTTTTCTATTGACTTGCTTCTAATCGTTTTATTTCTTTTGAAATTTCAGCTTTTCTTGCCAACTTATCAAGTATTTCTTTTTCTGGATTTTTTAACAGTCCATTTTTTATCTTTTCTTCCAATGTTTCAATTTCTCTGATCTTTTTTCTTAGATTTTTCAATCTCTTTTGTGGATCTGGTGTAGAAGCTTCAGAATGTGTTGAAACATTTAGTTTAGTTGCTGAAGTCTGATTACTAGTTTTTATATTAGTTTGTGGTTTAGTGTTCTGTGATAATAATTCTTTCTTTTGATCCGGTTCAGAGAGTGTAGTTTTAGCCAGTTCTTCTGCTACACGTTCAGTTGTTTTGTTTTTATTTTTTTTCTTTTTCTTTTTAACTTCTGTTTTAACTTGAGCACCAGGGACAGTTTTAGACTTTGCTGCTAATAATGCTTCTTGTTTAGCTTTATGCTCTGCTATGAATTCTGGACTTGCACCTATTGGATACATAGGTTTATTCTTTATCTGTTTACCTTTGCTTTCATATCTGAAAAGAAAATGATAGTAATATTACATAAAAAGGTTTAATAATATTCTATAAATTATTACATACAATGGAACTTCTTCTTGTGGTATATAACCATCTTTCACACGGCGTGGCTTACGCCATGTACCATCTGGACGTTGACTGGCTGGGATAAATGTTCCACCTATAAGAGAATTTGTTATAAAAAATGAATTTTATGAATTAATATAAGCATATTTTTTAATTATCTTTGTTATATTGGTTCCACCAATTGAATTTCATCCAAGACAGCAACTATATCTTATTTAAAGTATTTTTAATATTTATGAATAATTTTATGAAAAATGAACATCAGAACTTGACTAGAATTTTGTGGAATAAAGGTTGTTTACATGTTACAGGTTATAAATAATGCAATAGCTAAAATAAATCCAATGATCGAATACAAAATTGATCACCTTGTTCATCTTTAATATAAGCCGACGCCATCGTTACTCGGTACGATCGTTCGCCGTGAATATTTTTTATTATATTTCTTAATAATTCTTACTATCCGCGTGCCATTTTGCGATCGTGAGGACCTCAACTCTTGAGAGATACCCGTGTTTTGAAATTAACAATACATATACATTCTGTACGATTGTAAGATGTCACTACTATGTCATTATTTTAGTAACATCTTTAAGATGAATTTTATTTCGCAATTATGCTAATATCAACATGTGACATATTAATCAAAGATAGCTGAAAATTTTTGTTACGATTGTTAAAAAAAAAAAAAAAATAAGCTAGGAGATTATTTTAATAAATTCATTATCATTGTAGTGTCATTTCCAACGTTATCGATTCAGTGAGTTGAGAAAGAGAGAGAGAGAGAGAGATAAAATATATTTAATTAATATTCCGTAGCTATGATGCTATTTTATCTTTATAACTTTCAGATTATATAGTTTATATCGCATGTATTCAAACTACATATCAAAAATTTAATGTTAAAATTATTTCTAAAATTATTGGAACTTAAGAATTACATGTGGTGTATAAAATTTTAAAATCACATTGATAAAAATAAAATTGTTAGAAATGTTTTTATATTTTCAATTTAAATTATATATAATTAGAATTATAAAATCTATTATTGACAAGCTTGTTTCATGAAAGATATAATTGTCGTGAGATATAATAGATGTATTAATTTATATGTTTTTTGCAAGTTAATTACATTTCTGAGACACTGGTTATATCGACATAGTAACAATTATTACTTTTTTGTACATATTAAGATTGAGTATCTAGAAGCCAAAATTCCTGTTGATCATAGTTAATCCAAAATAATAATGGTAATATATTTGTATAAAACTTTTTGTTTATATTTTAATAATTTAATGATAATTTATAGACTTATGATTTTTATAGAGTGAACTGGAAGATTTTATATGTATAAGTAGTTTGGAAACATTGTAATGGTAACATAATGTATAGGAGGCAACGGATACACGTTCATGGGAGCGGAAGTCAAGCACACACAATCAGGATCGGAAGTAATTCCGGTGACCGAACACTGTGATGGTATTGTTAGCCGATCTGCTGAATAATAATTGGCATTCGGTGCATTTACATGGTCACGATTGCAGAGTGTCAATATCTTTCCGGATGGAATGGAAACGTCATTCGGTGGCTTTGCTCCATGATATAGTGTTCGTTCAGTGTTTGCCGTGAATCTATACTTGTGACTTCATCGTCCTTCCGAAGGTACGTGAGTATTAAAAGTGAATTTTTTTGTCTTCGAGTGTGATAAAAAATGTTTTACATGATTGTATATATTACATTCTTTAGTTTACATTTAAGTGTTACTTAAGATAATGTGGAACGAAGGATGTCAAACAAGAAGGAGGGTTGCTATTACAAGTGTCGCAAATTGATAGAAATACATGTATACCTGTATACATAGAATCTAAGAATTGAAATCACTATTTTTGTAGAATGTCTTACACATAATTTGTTTCAAAAAGTTTTCGATTATCTTAAAGGCAAGTTATATGGTAAGGATCACAGGAAATATACGTGATACATTCTTTCTTGAAAATGTCCATTTCTTCTTTTAATTCGAAAATATTGATTGCTTTATAATTCTGAACGATATACCAAATTTACAATAAATTTATCACAAGTTTCGTTGTCTTTCTTTCGGAACAAGATGGGTTGCGCGCCTAGTGGACCATCGTACAAGAAGGGCGGTATTCGGTTAATGGCCACGAAGCTTACTTTCACCAAGGATCAACTGCACAATCTGAACACGTATTTCTCCAAACTGGTCGACGAGTCTCAAAATGGTGAATGTTTAACGAGCTTCTCGATAAATCTTGCTTTTTGATTTGGCAAACAATGGAAAGACTACGACCGCAGAGACGTCGAAAATAACGAAAATAACGAAAATATTGAATTCAAGAGAAAATTGTAAGCTGTCAAAGTTTTTTCTTCGTCGAATATTCAATCGAACGAATTTGTTGTAGATTCCTCGAATGTTATTGCGATCGAAGCTATCGTGGAAAGATTGGTTCAACGCTTGATGCGAGGCGCTGCTAACCTCGATCGAAGATTTTCATCTATGTTTCTCGTTTCATTAAACGAACCGCGGCGAATAAAGGTAAAAAGATGAGGAAATCGGAAATTCTGGAATTATAATAATAACAACAATTAGGAAGCTGGTAAACTTCGAAGAGGTAGTACCAGTATCTTCAAATCATTTTTTTTCCTCTCCTTTTCAGCAAGCTAAATTCGAATATCTGCTGCGGATAGATGCATTGTCGACTTCCAGTGTAGGTCCTGAGCAGGGACGTTCGGTAGTGTGCGTCGAAGAGGATGCTTCTCTACCAGGCTTTATTCGGTTGAAGGTGCTTGACGTTGGAGCGGAAGTTTGGCGGGAGTACATGGATGTCGCGGGAAGATTGAGGAGGGATCTTGTAAAAGCCAAATTAGCAAATTTATTGGCTACAGCTATTAAACGAGGTATTTCGTATACCTCTAGGACTCTTTAGTTTGGGAAATAATTCGCAATGTAATTGAATAAATTAAGCGGAGAAAAATGCGAAGTCGCTGTTTCAGACGTTGGTGACCCGGCAGATGATAGAATTTGTGTCTCACCTGGTCAAGTGGTCGATGCTGAAACTCTCGACAAAATACTGAAGCAACCAGACCACAATCGAATATTCTACGGGCTAGGTAACGTCTTAAATTATCAGGAAATTTAAACGGCTCCGTTAATTAGGGACGATAGAAATGCGCGATAAATTCTTTTCACAGATAACTTTCAAGCTTTGAAATGTTCCGTCTTGAAACATTGCCGTGCGTTTATTTATCTCTGTTGTAGACAAAAGCCACTTGTCGAGAAATGGTAAGCAAAAATAAAATTTTCACCGTTTTGTTATCATCCACTCCAATTCCTCATTTCATGCCTCTTATCAACATAGTCTCGGTTTCACGCGTGTTCCCAAACCTTTCTCGACGATTCGTCTGCTTTCTTTTCATTGTCTTTTTTATTCTTGATTCCCTGTTATTCTCTCTGTTTGTACTAAATAACCGACGCACGAGGTAATTTGGTAATTCGATATACCGGGCGTTTAATAAATCAGGACACGACGCTTGAGCAAAGTTGTTTAATAACGACTGTAAGGGATTTAGAATAACGAGCGCTCAGCAAGTATGGCTAGTTTCCGTGTAACCGTATTAAGGAGCCTGTTATAAATCAAATTGTACTGTATCTCGTGTGAAATAATAACCGCAGCTAACGATGTGGTTTTTAACAATACACCCCAGATAATAACGGCATCGTGTAATTGTTTGCAGCCGTTTCAGATGGATCGTTACCGGAACCGAGAAGTCATCGAGTGGCCATGATCGAAGATTCTGGTGGAATACTGCTTAGAATCGGGTTGGATGGATTTAAAGCTCACGAAGTTGAGGTCAGGCTACTAATCGGTATTGGAGTGTCGTCATGGCCTAGTTTAATCGACTATCCTCAACGAATACCACTCTATCATTGTGACGCTCTTCTTCACTATACTGCAGCGCAAAGTGTTAGTATATATATACAAAAAAAAAAAAAAGAA